TCCCTTATGACCGATTTTGTCCCACTGAATTCTTTGGCTTTAGGTTTTTAATGAGACATATATATTACTCGTCCAATTTACCGCCGATACATCAACACGTAGTACAAGAAGAGTATTATAATATGTAATTACTTGTGGACTAAGGAATCAAAGAGCTGACATATAAACTCATTTCCATATGGTGAAACGTGGCACCTCTTCGTAATAAATATCTTTAATTCAAGCATGACAATACTTGTACCTAGTCTTGTATAAATAGATGTACTATGCAGTGGAAATACATAATTCTCACAAGTCATAATACACATACACTTGCAGAAGCTTTCTTATCCTTATCTTAATAAGTATATTTATATTTTGTGAGCTAATAAGATTTATTCTATAACATTCTTTTTGTTTTTTGTTTAGTTCATTATTTATTTTATTTTATCCACTAGGGTTACGAAAATTAAAGTTCACTATATACTTATCGGAAACTACTATAATTTTACCGGAAACACTTGTAAAATTCACGGGGAAATTACAGTTTATGTCCCTAAACTTTACCGCTAAAATGTTTTATGTCCTCAAACATTTCAATCCACGAAATATGTCCTCAAACTTGCCACTTTTGATCACTTTATGTTCTGTCGTTAACGTCGGCAGCTAACTTCAACGGAAATAGCACACGTGGCTCATGTGACGTCTATATGGCCGTTAAATGTCGAGTTGTACAACACCCAGTGCCTACTTGGCCGAAAAAACGTGATGTGGAGCGACACGTCATTCTAATCCCCTATTTCTATTCTAAAATCCATAATTCTCCATATCTTCAATGAACCCATAAATCCAATCCCTAAAACCCCATTTCGAATCCTTCAATTGAGGTGAAATTTGAAAATAGCAGAATCGTATGTGAATCCATGGCCATTTTTCCTTGTGTGTTACGAGCAAAATAGCCCAATAAACAAATGCCGAATGTTTCCTCGATTTCCCTTTCATCTTCGGGCTGAAATATCATGTATTCTTCCACTTCGTTGGGGAAGTCGGAGAGCTCGAATTCGTTCTTGGGCACTCTATTCTTGGCGAAAAAATAATTATATGCAGTTTTGACAGGTGTTGCATGTTTTTTTTTCCGGAATTGGTTCAGACATTTTGTCGAACACCTTCTGGGCAGGTTCTGAAACTGCTGAGTTGGGTAGAATTTGTGTCATCTTCACCATCCTTGTGCTCGCTTCATCGAGACCACAAGGGGCACAAGCATCAGCAGACGAAGAATCACACGTTTACCTTCTTCCTCTCGATTGCAGGCATGTGTTTGCACGTGAATCTGCTGTTCTTTGTGAAGGGAAAAACTCTTCAAATGTGAGAATATTGTTTGGATTTTTTATGGGTTTATGACTTCGATTTTTGTATGGGTTCGAGCAAGAATGCAGATTGGATTGAAAATTTGGGAATGGGTTGAGGTGATTGAATTGTGAAGTGTGGGAAAATTAAGGTTTATGGGAATGAAACGTGATTTGAGATTTGGGAGAGTGAGTTAGAAGAAATTAATATATTCTTGTGCCATGTCAACATTTAATATTCAATATATTATTCCACGTCATATTTAACGGCCACATAGACGTCATGTGAGCCACGCGTGCTATTTCCGTCGGAGTTAACTGCCGATGTTAACGGCAGAACATAAAGTGATCTAAAATGGCAAGTTTGAGGACATATTTCGTGGATTGAAATGTTTGAGGACATAAATCGTTTTAGTGGTAAAGTTTAGGGACATAAACTGTAATTTTCCCTAAAATTCACTGTAAAATTAACGTAATCCACTTTAATATTAACATAATCCACAACAAACATATCGAAATCCACTAAAAACATACGTAATCCACTACTAACACAACTCAAAAAATAACAAACAAAAAAAAACGTACATTCACTATTCGAAAAATCCACTATTTGAAATGTAAACCACTACTATGCCCAGGACAAAAATGCAAGACTAGTACACCACCACCAACAATGCCGACGAGGGTCATTAAATCAATCTAAACAAGAAAAAAATTAATTAGCAAATGAAAACAAATTTTCAAAAGCAAACTTGGTGTCACACCATCGTTGGTGGGAATAAAATTTATGAAGCTTTCATAAAACAAATTATTTCAAACCTAATAAAATTGCATAAATCTGTGGAAACGAAAAATGAATGAGGGAACAACAATGAAAATCACTCTATATAAACAACTATATAAAAATGAAAATTACTATGTATACTTATTGAAATTCACTATAAATTTATCGAAAACCACCATGTATACTTATCTAAATCCACTATAAATTTGTATAGTGAAATTGTGAAATGTGTATAGTTTGTATAGTGGAATTGTGGGATCCACCGTAAAGTAAATGAGTTGTTTTAAGGAATATGTCCGTATGAATAAATATATTAGTAGGAGTGGAAATTGGAACGAAATTTCCAATTTTTGCCGAATCCGATCCGAATAATTCTGATTTTGGAACGATTTTTTTTCACTTCCAAATTCCAAAATTCCGATTTCCAAAATTTACGAAAAAAATCGGATCAAAATCGGAAATACATATTAAAATTTCGGAATTTCCGAATTCCAATCCGAAATAGTTCCAATTTTTTCCGATATATTTCCGATTATCTCCGACATAATTCCGATTATTTACTACATATTTCCGATATTTTTCGAATATTAGTAACATTTATTAATTATATATTAATATAATACATATTTTACATAATTATTTAATTATTTTTTACTTGTAAAAGTTTCAAACCCTAAATACTATGCTGAAATCAGCTCCGCAACGCCCCTCTTTTCTAATTCTCTCTCTTTTTCTACTTTTCATCTTCTCCTTTATTGTAAAGTTGCCGCTCTCTCTTCTTCTCCTCATGAAGCTGCCCCTCACTCTTATTCTCCTTGCGAAGCTGCCTATCTCCACATATCTAATTTTGAATCCACTCTATTTTTCTTCTTCTCCTTGCGAAGCTACAGATCTCGACTTTCTCCTGCATCAATTTATCTACTTCACTGCAAATCTTGTGTGTTTTTCTTTTAATTATTTCAGAAATTATTATATGTTTTAAATCATATGAAATGCTTGTGTTTTTACATATGAATCGTTGATATTGCTTCGATTTTTTTTTTGTTTTTTTTAAATTTTTTTGTACAATTTTGGGGTTTTTGTCTTAAGTTTACAAATTCCGAATATTCCGAAGATTTCCGAAAACAAGTAATTCCGAAAATTTCCGATTTTCCGAAATTTTCGAAAAAATCGGAATCCGAATAAGAACCTATATTACAGTTCCGAAATAAATCAAAAAATTTCCAAAAGAGTTATATCCCATCCGATCCGTCTGATTTCCACTTCTATATACTAGGAAAAGGTAGATGTGGATTTTATTTCCGTTATTTTTCAATCCATTGTTCCATGTCAATGAAGATCTCAGAATATCTCAAGTATATTATTATAGTGAGAAAAAAGAATTGCCCCAAAAAAAATACACAAGAAGCCAACCTGGATTATTGAGTGTTAATCCCATTATTGTGTCAGTTAATACCTCTACAAAATATGTTGTTCCATACGACGGTCTGTTGCATCTGCAAGTCCTTCAAACTTCGTTGACTCCCAAAATATTTTGCAAAACACAAATTACGAAACAAAACAAGCCAATAATGGCAAGAGGCAAGATATTTCATTATAACCGTCGTCGTCAACAGAGATGGGAGAAAGATGGCGATTGAGAGAGGCAGTGTGGGTTGTGGGTAAAGATTAATGACCGTGATTTGTAGAGTTTTAATTATGAAAACTATATTACACAGTTATGTATTTATAATGTAAGATAAGTTTTGATTACCGTGATTCGTTGGGTTTTAACTATGAAAAAAATATTACGCAGTTATGTATTTCTAATGTAAGATATATTTAGATTAGTGTGAGGGTATAATAATGTAACTTAACTAATTTTAATTAATTAAAAATAATTTGGAATTATTTAAATGTAGACAAAACATTGGACTCCTTATAAATACACATGTGTAATAGGGGGGTTTGTCAAATAATCTTTATTTATTATGTTTATTTCTCTCTCCTCTCCATTAGCTTTGACTTTGCGGTTGAAGAGTTTTGGTTTAATGCCACTTTACAGCCTCGAAATACTGAATTTTGGCACTTTGCACCTTGGAAATAATTAATAGCACTATGAACTCTTGAAACACAATAAATCATTTACAATGCACTTTCAATTGAACTTTAAAATTCAGCAGAACGCAAATTTGAGTTTTTTTTTTTTCAGGGTGCAAAATGACAAATTAAATTTTATTGCCTACTACCCCTACCCAATTTGAGCGTACAAAATGCCAAAAAAATGCCATAGAGTTACTTAAAAACTTTATTTTCTTACAAAAAAAAAATCGTATTTTTTCTCTCTAAATTATTCGATTGTTGGATCTTTTGTTGTAATTGGTGAAAATATTTGTAAGAAAATATAACTTTCAAATAACTTGATAAAAAAAATAGATGAAGGAATTTTTCTCATTATTTTTTTGGTAAACTTTTAAATATTTTGAAGAAATGTATATTTATTTTTACATTTTTTATCTTCAAAAGCATTAAAAAAAATTGATACATGGCCTCGTAAAAAATACCACTAAAAATATTAAATTATCTTCACTAGTTTAAAAGATTCATTTGTGGGTGAATTGTGCATAATTTATTGTATTTTTAAGGTGCAAAGTACTATGAATTTTTTAGAGGGTGCAAAGTGTCAAAATACAATATTTCAAGGGTGCAAAATAGGATTTACAAATATGTATTTCAAACATCGCAAGGGTGCGTAAATTTGTTTTACAAACATGTATTTTTAGTTGAAAATATGCTGCCCTGTGCATCGCACGGGTGAATACTAGATATTTTTTACTTTACAATTCCAATGAAGCATTAATTAAAAAAATAATTTGAAACAACAAAAAAATTTCAAAAGACAATTAATATGAGACGGAGGGAGTAGGTTTTTTTTTCTTTGAAACAAGTAAATTGTTACAACACTACATGTTTATGCAAGTATATAAATCAACAATCTCAAACATGGCTAAAATGAATACAATCGTACGAGTTTATTGCATGATGCATCACATTTTTAGTACATTCATAACTTTTAATCCACTTGTTTAGGACCCTGAAATGAACGGCTCTAGGCTTTGAAAGATGATTGGAGCACCGTATTGTGGTTGAAGAGTTGTAACGGAGAAAGGAGCATGCAAATATGACGGCGAAAGCTCAAATGAGAAGCTTCGGAGAATTGTAGCTAGAGCCATTTTTGCTTCAACCATTGCAAAGTTTTGTGCGACGCATATCCGAGGCCCTGAACTGAACGGTACGAATGACGATTGAATTTTCGATACTCCATCAGAGAACCTTAGAGGATTGAACTCATTCGCATTGTCTCCCCAAATATCGGAATTACGATGGACTAACCCTACCATCAACAACAAATGTACCCCGGCCGGAATAGTTAGGTTTTCGAGTTTCACCGTCTTTGTAGAGTATCGATTGATCATAGGTAATGGCGGGTACAACCTCAACACTTCTTGTAAGATCATGTTAACCTGTCATCAAGTCAAGATGTATAATTATTATAATGATCATAACCTACAATTAATTAAACTTTTTTAGAGAAATTGTTCTATTGTCTCAAAATCATAGAAAAGGTAATGTTTGTGTTGCATAGGGTTCTCATTTTCCTCCTAGTGTTTAACCCATCTATGTTCCTTAAAATGATTCTAAAAATTACTCTCTTCTTCGAATATGATTTGACTTGCTACGGGAAAAAAAAAATGTCTTCACTAGAAAATAAATAAAGATCGCTTTGGTTACCAAATTCTTGTACTGATATCTTTTTTTTCTCCAACACATTTAGTCATGATTTGACTGCTACAGTGTTTTCTGTTTCTACGCAAAGTGCAACAAACATTACTTTCATTTTGAAAACAAAATAAAATTAAGTCTCAAAACGCTTCCAAGTATTGTAGTGAACTTGTATGAAAATCTGAAACTAAGATACATAATAAATAAATATCTTACCTTCTTGAGCTGATTTAATCCTTCAAAACTTGGCTCTGAGTTCCCGAATACCTGAATAACCTCTTCTCTTGCTCGAGTTTGCCATTCAATATGTTCGCACAACAAAACCATAGTCCACACGAGCAAACAAGCCGTTGTTTCCGAGCCGGCCACATAGAACAGCTTGCACTCCTCAATCACATCTTCAATACTCATTCCCTTATTCTTATTTTCGCATTCTTCGACAAATCTTGAATTTGATTCCATTAGTATACCTAATAAATCATCGCTAGGAGCCTCGTCTCCCCTATCCATTGCCTTCTGCCTTTTGTCGATTATACCCCTTAGTAAGGACTCAATTTCGTTGTTTATCGCTTTGATTTTGTTGTTTAGTTTCGTCGGAAGGTAACTGCAAATCGAAATCCACTTAAAATCCTTTTGAAAATATTAATATTAAATGATACATTTCACTAACAACTTAAACTTTTGGTTGAGATGGTCATTCAACAATCCTCGAATAATGCAAGATGATAAACAAAGGAAAAATTAAAAAAATGTTTGTAATTTAATATTTCATCACCTCCATCCAGGGATAAACGAAAACTGCAATAGTTGGAGGGTGAGCTTAAGTTTTTCACGCTGAAGCTGAATTATTTTCGTTCCTTGGTCGTGGTTGCTGCCGAAAGCCGTGCGCGAAATAACATCGCCCGTGAAATCTTCCAGGCATGCCCACATATCGATTTCGCAGCTTCCGCCGGTACTACTGCAAACCTTTGACTTCAACTTGGATATCATGTTTGTACAGCTTAAACCAATTGCTGGAACCATATTCTGTTAAAGAGGTAAAAGTTTGTGAAATACTTAACCAAATGGATATTACAGTTAAACCACTATAAATTAGACAACTATAAACTAATACATGCTGTTGCGACCACCAAAATTTTGTTTATTTAGCGAAATATTCTTTTAGCATGTTGTCCTAGAGTTGAGGCTGGAAAAAAGATATTATTTAAGCGAGGTTATTAATTAATTAAGTATTATTTTATTGAGGTTCTACTGTATGTATGTAATGATCATACAAAAGTTGACTACCAAAAAAATATATAACATAGTGGTCTTATCTAAAAAAATCCAGTTACAATAACATCACATTCATTAGAGGAAATAATCTTTTAATTGGCAACGCTAATTTAAACATGATTAGGCAAAAAATATTGTCACTATGGTTGTAACTAATGGTGTATCACTAATGCTAGTGACAATAAACGGGATTAAATGACAACAAAAAAAAAATGAGTTATTAGCGTCGAACAACATAAATATGTTATCATTTAATATATATATTTAGTGACAACTTTTGATAATCTCAGAGTTGTGGCATCACTAATTTTTTTTTTAGTGATTTGACAACTAACCAATTAGGTACAACCAAACTATAATACACATCGGTATGTGTTACAATAATACATAAATGAGTTTTTTTTTTTTTCCGATACGACCATGTGGTCCAGTTCATCGAAATTGATACGTATAGGGGATTTGGTGCATGTTTTCTGCTATATATACAACAGGTATTTATACAAAATTTAATTAACTCATTCATTTAAAATTCAAATTATTTTTCTTAAATTAAATCGAACGCATTTATTCGGTTACAGTATGAAAAATAAAGATACTAAGAGTAATTAATTTAGTTACCTTCAACTTGTGTAGATGAAAAGCGGGATTGATGATCTTTCGGTGTTTAGCCCATTTTTCGCCCTCGAGAAGCACAATCCCACTCGTAAGAATCTTGGCTGTTTCCGTATGGGGCTTCTCAAACACGTCGTATTTCTTTAAAATCTCCTTTATTAGGTCCGGGCTATGATGCATGGACACGGATACGTGGACACGGCGATACGCGGACACGGACACGGTGATACGGCATTTTAAAAAAACTAGGATACGGACACGCGGGGGATACGCGTAAATATAAAAAATATAGGGGTATATTTATAAATAATAAAAATATAGGGGTACATTTATAAATTATAAAAAATATGTATAAGTTGTCATCGCATAAGAGAACCGCCCGCCCTTGTTGCTCGTGTTCTTGGTCGCCGTCGCATGTTAGCTTTTGGAGTTTTTGGTGGACTCGCAAAGAAAATAGAGGAAATGTGTATTATAGAGAAAAAAAAATGCGATTTTTTTTAGTGAGGGTTCTCTCTTAAAACGTAAGAGAAGTGTCCCAACTTTTTCAAAATTGTGGACACTGCCCGACACGGGTGTCCTACTTTTAACCAAATTACGACACGGCCCGACACGGGTGTCCGAGAAGTATCCGGGTGTATCCGAGTGTCCAGGTATCGGATACGGGGACTCTTCACCTTCTAGAAGTGTCCGTGCAGCATAGGGTCCGGGTCAACGATGTTCAGTTTCGGCCACGGACCGAACCAGAAGAAAGAATTTTTGCCGTACTTTTTAAGGATGTCGTAATAGTAAGCAAAAATGTGCGGCGAAGTGTCTTCGTCGGAAAGTTCGATTGATTTAGGTTGTTCTGCTTTGATGGCTTTCATCATATCTTTCACATCTCCGATAAACGGTCGGTACGGAGTTCCGTGCAAACCTTGATTTCTTAGAAATTTCTCGAGTTTTCTTGGCTTCAACCAGAGAAAATTTAGTACCTTAGCTGCACATGTTATTGATGCTGCCATGGCGAGAGAGATTAAAACTAAGGCCAGTGTTGCTTCCATTTTTCTTTTTTTTTTTTTTTTTTTTTTTTTTTGCAGGTATGAAAACTTAGCCTGAACTGCAACAAGTATATATATAGGGTAATTTGCATCCACCTCCCTAGATTTTGATGTTTTGGCAACCACACCCCAAACGTTTAGCTTTTTGGCATATGCACCCTCCATCCGTTTTTTCGTTATTCATCGGTTAGTTTTTGGTGGAAAATACACATTTATCCTCACTTTGAACATAATATAGTAATTTGCATTGATTTCCTCTAACTTTTATATTTTACCAACCACATGTTACATGTTTTTTATTTTATTATTATTATTATTATTATTATTATTATTATTATTATTATTATTATTATTATTATTATTATTATTATTATTATTATTGTTGTTGTTGTTGTTGTTGTTGGAACGCAGCATTTTCATCCAATTTAATTTTTTGTTACTAACTATTATTTTTTGATTTACCCAATTCAAAATTTATATTCCAATTCATAAGTATTACATTTTTTTTTAACCGATCAGTATTACATTTACATAAATGGTATAATGGTTTTTTGTAGATCCAATAACAAGAAAAACAATTATTTTACTAGCAATTGTGAATTATATATTTTTCATAAATATTGAAAAATGTTGTCCGATAAGTTTGAGAAGATGTAAAATTAAGAAACTAATTAAAAAGCCATTTTCCTACTCTGGCCCTCATACTAACGGAGAAAAAATTAATGAAAAAGGTGTATATATGCCAAAAAGTTAAACGTTTAGGGTGTACTTGTCAAAAAACCAAAGTTTAAAGGAGGTGGATGCAAATATATATATAAATATATATATATATATATATAAATATATATATATATATATATATATATATATATATATATATATATATATATATATATATATATATATATATATATATATATATATATATATATATATATATATATATATATATATATATATATATATATATATATATATATATATATATATATATATATATATTGTAGTTTTGATTGTACCAATCATAATGTTCATTAAATAAATTATTTAAATAGCAATACTATATCGGTGCGTATCTTTATGGCGCTTCCAATATATAGTACTATTGGTAGGTATTCAAAATAGACCTATCATACTCCCTCTTTCTCCAAAATAACTCTTCAAAAATTTCACGCTATTTCAATTTTTTTTTTTTCATTTTCTTTTTCCAGGAAAAATATGATTTTTTTTATTTCAATTTTAAAACAAAATATTGCTTTTACTTTATTTCAGTTTTTTCTATTTAGTTTTTTATTTTTTCCACAGGGTTTAAAAATAGTATTTTTTTTATTGTTATTGATGATGCTAATTACTTAGATCACCTGGGGTAGTGTAGAAAATGAGTTGGGAGAGCAAAGCGGATCAGTAAATTGACAACTTGATGATCCTGAGGTCCCTGCGAAATAAACTAACGTGAACTAAGCCGGGGGTTGATCCGGCGGAAACCCCTCCGACGCTCAAGTCAGATGTCCTTGAGATACCTGCGATCATAGAACACGTGAACTAGGCCGGGCGTTGATCCGGCGGAAACCCCTCCGACGTTCAAGTCAGATGTACGGATCGTGGAGATGGTAGAGAGAATATGCACTCTAGAATATTTGTCAATAATAGAACGTACCTTAACAAATGAATAAAAACCTCTATTTATATGTCGTTGATTGGGTTGAGTTTATTTAATTGGGCTCAAGCTTTATTTTGAAGGTGATTGGGCTTTCGTGTAGTGGACCCATTGGATCGGCCCAATTAGGTAAATCAGTTATTATAATATGTAATTACTTGTGGATAGGGGTGAAAGTTGGATGGATCGGATCGTAATTAGCCTTTTCGGAAAATTTCCAAAAAAATTTGGAAGTACAAAATCAATTCCAATTCCAATTCCAATTCCAAAATTGTCGGAATCTAAAAATTCATTCCAATTCCAAAGGGCCCGGAAAATTCGGAATTTCGGAAAAAAATTGGAAATCATATAAGCTTTAAAATTTCAAAAAGTAGCTGAAATTTTCTAAAATGTTCATACTTTTTCGAAAATAAGAACATCCACGTGGGTAAAAGTAAAATTAATAACTACTAAATTTCAGTTCAAAAAATAAATAAAAATAAACACAGCATAATATCCAATAAAACTTCTAACAACAATTCATTATGTCAAACAAAACTTATAGGTGTATTTTTCGAAAAATAAGTACTATATAATATATACTATTTATAGGTGTATTTTTCGGAAAAAAATCGGATTTTTTGGAATTAATTTCGGAATTAAATCGGATCGAAAATCGGAAATTCCAAATTTATTTTATATAATTCCAATTCCAATCCATAAAAATCGGAAAATTTCAGAAATCGAAATTTCGGAAGTCGGAATGAAAAAAGGTTTTTCAAAATTGGAACTTTTCGGATCGGAACCGACGAAAATTGAAAAATTTGTTCCAACTTGCACCCTTACTTGTGGACTAAGGAATCAAAGAGTTGGCATATCAACTCATTTCCATATGGTGAAACGTGCCACCTCTCTGTAATAAATAACCTTAATTCAAGCATGACAATGCTTGTACCCACTCTTGTATAAATAGGTGTATTATCCAGTGGAAATACACAATTCTCACAAGTCATAATATACTTGCAGAAGCTTTCTTATCCTTATTAATAATATGTATATTTATATTTTGTGAGCTAATAGGCTTTATTCTATAACATTTTTTTATTTATTTTTTGTTTATTTTAATTTTTTAGTTTATTTTTTCCACCAGGGTTATGAAAATTAAAGTTCACTATATACTCATCGGAAACTACTATACATTTACCGAAAACAATTGCAAAATTCACTGTAAAATTAACGCAATCCACTTTAATATTAACATAATCCAAAACAAACTTATCGAAATCCACTAAAAACATACATAATCCACTACTAACACAACTCAAAAAATAACAAACAAAAGAAAACGTAAATTCACTATTCGAAAAATCCACTATTTGAAACGTGAACCACTACTATGCCTAGGAAAAAAGTGCAAGACCAGTACACCACCACCAACGAGGCCGACGAGGGTCATTAAATCAATCTGAACATGAAAAATTTAATTAGCAAATGAAAACCAATTTTCAAAAGCAAACTTGATGTCACACCATCATTGGTGGGAATAAAATTTGTGAAGCTTTCATAAAACATCTTTCCAACCTACTAATATTGCATAAATCTGTTGAAACAAAAAATGAATCAGGGAACAACAATGAAAATCACTCTGTATAAACAGCTATATAAACATGAAAATTACTATGTATACTTATCGAAATTCACTATAAATTTATCGAAAACCACTCTATATACTTATCGAAATCCACTATAAATTTGTATAGTGAAATTGTGAAATGTGTATAGCTTGTATAGTGAAATTGTGGGCTCCACCGTAAAGTAAAGGAGATGTTTTAAGGAATAGGTCTGTAGAAATAAATATATTAGTAAGAGTGGAAATGGGAATAAAATTTACGATTTCTGTCGAATCCGATCCGAATAATTCTGATTTTGGAATGATTTTTTCACTTCTGAACTCCAAAATTCCGATTTTTGAAATTTACTAAAAAAATCGGATCGGAATCGGAAATACATATTAAAATTTTGGAATTTCCGAATTCCGATCCCAAATAGTTCCGATTTTTTTCGACCTATTTCAGATTTTTTCCGATGTATTTCCGATTATTTACGACATATTTCCGATATTTTTCGAATATTAATAACATTTATTAATATATATTAATATAATATATATTTTACATAATTATTTAATTATTTTTTACTTGTAAAAGCTTCAAACCCTAAATGCTATGCTGAAATCAGCGCCGCAACACCGCTATTTTCTAAGTCTCTTTCTTTTTCTACTTTTCATCTTCTTCTAAAGGAAAAACATCAATCTTGATTTCCCTGATTTACTTGTTTGAGATCATGATTGATTAGATTCAATTAGATCAGCTCAAATAGCAAAGCATTTGAATTTTGAAATCAAGAACAAAAATTTTCTCAACATAAACACATTTCAGCATAACAACTTCCGGCAGAAATGAGCATCTTCCGGACAGAAAACAATTTTGTAAAAATCTTTGATTGGTTGATTATGAAGTGATTGACAGGTTTCCAAAATGAAGAGATAGAGTCTCAATCAGCCAAACATCAATTCAACGCAGGTTTGATTTTTGAATAAAAGAATTTCTTCCAAAGATAGAATATAAAAGAAATCTTTTGCTTTCAAATATATTTCCAGCAAATATAGAGAGAGTGAGAGTTGGCTGATCCTTTCAAACATATTTTTGAAAGGAGAATTTGATTATTTTCGAAAATGAATTGTCTAAAGAAAAAGTGCTTTATCGAAAATAAGAGTTGGGCCTTGTTCGCAAGATGGTTCAAGGGCATTGGGCCTTCAATTATAAGAATAAGACTCAACAAAATTCATTAGTTCCATAATCAATTGTTTGTTTGATCATCACTTTGGATTACAAGCCACTTGGCTAACATTATTTATATGTTTAAAATCATATAAACTGCTTGATTTTTTACATATGAATCGTTGATCTTGCTTCGATATTTTTTGTTTTTTTTCAACTTTTTGTCCAATTTTGGGTTTTTTGTCTTCAGTTTACGAATTCCGAATATTCCGAAAACACGTAATTCCAAAAATTTCCGATTTTCCGAAATTTCCGATTTTCCGAAATGTCGAGCTGTACAACACCCAGTGCCTACTTGGTCGACGAAACGTGATGTGGAGCGACACGTCATTCTGCTCCCCTATTTCTATTATAAAATCCCTAATTCTCCATAAGCCCAATGAACCCGTAAATACAATCCCTAAAACCCCATTTCGAATCCTTCAATTGAGGTGAAATTCAAAAATAGCATAATCGTCTGTGAATCCATGGCCATTTTTCGTGGTGTTTTACCAGCAAAATAGCCCAATAAACAAATACCGAATGTTTCCTCGATTTCACTTTCATCTTCGGGCTGAAATATCATGTCTTCTTCCACTTCGTTGGGGAAGTTGGGGAGCTGGAATCCGTTCTTGGGCACTCTATTCTTGGCAAAAAGAGAATTATATGCAGCTTTGACAGGTGCTGCATGTTTATTTTTCCGGAATTGGTTCAGACATTTTGTCGAACACCTTCTGGGCAGGTTCTGAATCTGCTGAGTTGGGTCGAATTTGTGCCATCTTCACCATCTTTGTGCTCGCTTCATCGAGACCACAAGGGGCACAAGCATCAGCAGG